AGACGGGTAGGGGGCATTAGAAGTGGGGAGGGGGGGGGCGTTGGGAAGGGTAGTGGGGGGCTATGATTAGATTATGAGATGGAGGGAGAGAAGCAGAGAGGAGGATGAGAGGGAGATGGAATAAAGAGAGAGAAAGAGAGAGAGAGGGAAAGTGAGGGCGCAGAAAAAGGAATGAGAGGCAGATGGGAAGGGGAGAAGTGATAGGGAAATGAGAGAGAGAGAGAGAGAGAGAGAGAGAGAGAGAGAGAGAGAGGGAAGCAGAAAGAGAGGTGAGAGGGAGAAGAGAGAGAGAGAGAGAGAGAGAGAGAGAGAGAGAGAGAGAGGGAAGCAGAAAGAGAGGTGAGAGGGAGAAGAGAGAGAGAGAGAGAGAGAGAGAGAGAGAGAGAGAGAGAGAGAGAGAGAGAGAGAGAGAGAGAGGGAAGCAAAAAGAGGGGTGAGAGGGAGATAAGCGGATGAGAAGGAGGAAGGGAAGCAGAGAGAGAGAGAGAGAGAGAAGTGACAGGGGGGAGGGAAACAGAAAGAGGAGAAAAGGAATATAAAAAGGAGAGAGAGGGATAGAGGGAGGGAAGAAGAGAGAGAGATGAGAGGGAGAGAAGAGGAGAGAGACGAGAAGATGAGAGGGAAAGAAATAGAAAGAGAAGGGAAACAGAAAGATACTTGAGAGAGAGATAAAGAGGAAGTAGAGAAAAAGCAAAGGGAGGAATGAAGGATGAGATGAGGAGAAAGAGAGCCAAAAAGAAGAAGAAGAGAGAGAAATATGCGATAGGGAGATAAGGAAAGAGGTAGGAATGCAGATAAAGGGATGGCGAGGGGAAAGAAAAAGAGAGAGAAGGAGAGGAAAGGAAACAATGGAAAAGGAAGAACGAGATAGCAGGAAAGGATTGGGCAGAGAGAGAGAGAGAGAGAGAGAGAGAGAGAGAGAGAGAGAGAGAGAGAGAGAGAGAGAGAGAGAGAGAGAGAGAGAGAGAGAGAGAGAGAGACAGAGACAGAGACAGAGACAGAGACAGAGAAAAAGAGAGAGAGAGAGAGAGACAGCGAAAGAGAGACAGAGAAAGAGAGAAAAATAATGACGAAACGCGAGGGAGAGCAAAAGAAGAAGGCCAATAAAGAGAAATAAATATATATAGAGAGAAAGCAAACTGGCGATAGGAAGACAGACACACACTAAGTGATAGATCGATTTAGTTGTATGGTGGAGTCACAGACACATGGGTTGATAAACGTGGAGATAAGCGGGGATTCAATTAGATGAATTGATCGATAACAGGCTACATGGGGAGAAATAACGATATAGAGATACATTGGAAGATTGGGAGATAGATAGACTGACAGGTAGTTATGATTGGATTATTACAACAGTAGATGGGGAGAGAGAGAGAGAAATGAGGGAGTTTTTATAGGGGTATTATATATATATATATATATATATATATATATATATATATATATATATATATATATATATATATATATATATATATATATATATATACAGATGGACAGAAAGTTATTGACAGAAGCAAAGAGAGATAAATGACTAGACATTATAAGAGAGATAGAGAGAGAAAGAGAGAGAAAGAGGGCGAATTAGAGAAAGAAAGAAAGAGAGAGAGAGAGAGAGAGAGAGTGAGTGAGTAAGAGAGAGAGAGAGAGAGAGAGAGAGAGAGAGAGAGAGAGAGAGAGAGAGAGAGAGAGAGAGAGAGAGAGAGAGGGAGAGAGAGAGAGAGAGAGAGAGTGAGAGAGAGAGAGAGAGAGAGAGAGGGAGAGGGAATGAGAAGGAAGATGGGAGGGAGGGAGAGAGAGAGAGAGAGAGAGAAAGAGAAAGAGAGAGAGAGAAGAGGGCAGAGAGTGAAATAAAGCAAAAAAATGACAAGAAAGAAAATAAAAGACAAAGAAGAAAATTAAACATTTATCCTCCATGAGCCAGACACAGTGTTGCCAAAGTGTCCACCTTACCCTCAAGCCTTTGGCAGTCCTGAATCACTTCTTTGATTAAGCAATAATAAACAAAATTTCGTAAGACATAGAAGTGAGATCAAGTGAGATTAGAAACCAACTGTAGCCTTGGCTTTTGTAGTCTCTCTGTTGTGTCTGTCTGTCCGTCTGTCTAGATGTCTGCTTACCTGTCGGTCTTTCTGTCTGTTTTACTATCATTTGTCTAACTGCCTACCTGTCTGTCTATCTGAGTCTCTCAATCATTCTGTCTATGTCTGTAGATATAATCCTCTCTCTCTCTCTGTCTATTTATCTTTCTTTATCTCTCTCTCTCTCTCATCCTTCCCCCCCACTCTCTCTCTTTCTCTCTCTCTCTCTCCTCCCTCTCCTCCCTTCTCTCTCTTTCTCTCCTTCTCTCTCTCTCTCTCTCTCTCTCTCTTCTCTCTCTCTCTCTCTCTCTCTCTCTCTCTCTCTCTCTCTCTCTCTCTAACTCTCTCTCTCTCTCATCCTCCCCCCACTCTCTCTCTCTTTCTTTCTCTCTTCCTCCTCTCTCTCTCCTTCTTTCTCAGTCTCTCTCACCTCTTTATTCTCTCTCACCCCCCCCCCCAACCCTCCTTCTCTCTCATCACCCCATCTATCGACTTCTTCCCAAAACAGCTGACATACCACGCACACTTTTGAGACTACCAACGCCATAGCTCACATACCATCCCTAATGACAAGGATACCAGGAACTGAGTACAAGGGACCAGGTGATCACAGGTAGCGATGCGCCCCATGATATCGCGGTATCGGTTCACTCAGACAATCAGCTGATACCGAGGGGGATAAAAGGAGTTAGGTGTCTTTGATTTTCCCACGGGTCTGTGTGTGTGTGTGTTGGTGGGGAGGGGGGGGAGGGAGGGGGGTGTCTGTGTGTGTGTGTGTGTAGGGGGGGAGTGGGGGTGTCTGTGTGTGTTGGTGGGGAGGGGGGGGAGGGGGGGTCTGTGTGTGTGTGTGTAGGGGGGGTGTCTGTGTTTGTGTGTTTGTTTGTTTTGTGTTTGTAAGTGTACGGGTGTTTGTGTGTGTACGAGTGTTTTTTTTTGTTTGTGTGTGGGGTATTTGTTTGTTTGTTTGTGTTGGTGTGTGTGTTTGTGCGTGTATGTGTATTTGTGTATGTACGTGTTTGTTTGTTTGAGTGTGTGTGCTTGTGTGTGTGTGTCTCTGTTTGTGTATATGTGTATTTGTTTGTGTGTCTGTGTTTGTGTGTACATGTGTTTGTGTGTGTGCTTGTGTGTGTGTGTGCTACGTTGGTATGTGTCTTGTATGTGTGTGTGTCCGCTCATGTGTCACTGACATAGTCTCGACAAGATCAAATTATAAAGTAAAAATTCGAGAATTCTGTATCGCTCCAAGTCATTTTTTTTCTTCTTATATTTCTTTTCTCTTTCATTTCCTTTCATATTTCTCATCTACTTTTTAAACTTCATTTATCGTTCCATTATCTCTTTTTCATTAGTTCTAATACAGTTATCAAAGCGTGTTTCTTTTTTTTTCTTTTTTTTTTCTTTTCTTTTTTTTCTTTTTCTTAGCAGCGATATATTTACCAATAATTATCCGGTTATTATACCTGTGTCATTCTGTGATAAAATTTTACAGAAAAAATTGAGAGAAATAATATCTGTCTATCAGTGTAATCTATCGATGATTTGTGGCATTTTTCTTCGTCTTTTTCATCAATTCCGACTTCTTTTCTTCTTCATTTAATATCACCATCTCATTCCTTTTTTTTTTTTCTTTTCTTTTTTTTCTTTTTCTTAGCAGCGATATATTTACCAATAATTATCCGGTTATTATACCTGTGTCATTCTGTGATATAATTTTACAGAAAAAAATTGAGAGAAATAATATCTGTCTATCAGTGTAATCTATCGATGATTTGTGGCATTTTTCTTCGTCTTTTTCATCAATTCCGACTTCTTTTCTTCTTCATTTAATATCACCATCTCATTCCTTTTTTTTCTGCTTCTTCTTCTTCCTCTGCTTCATCGTCTTCCTCCTTCCTTCTTCCTCCTGCATCTTCTGTCTGCTCTTCCTTATTTTTGCCGTTAATTTCTTTCGTGTTATTTTTATATTTGTATCTGTCTGTTTTCCTATCAATCTCTGTATCTATCTGTCTCTCGCAGTCTCTTTCTCTATCCCTCTTCTGCCTCTCTCTCTCTCTCTCTCCTGCCTCTCCCCTCCTTCGTTTCCCTTATTCACTACCCCATCCTCCCCCCTCCCCCTCTCTTTATCCTCTTCCTTCCACCACCACCAAACGAGTAAGCAAAGAGTAAGCCAGATATTAGGGTAAAATTACATTTCTCTGGAACAAAGATTTACGTTACTTGTTTTTTTTTTTTTTTTTTTTTTTCTCACACTATCTCTCATTCTTCCATCTCCTCTTCCTCTACTTCCTCCTGTTATTATCCCTTCTCCTTTTCCTCCTCATACTCCTTCTCCAGCACCGCCAAAACCACCAACATCTTCCTTTTCCTCCTCGTCCTCATACTCCTCTCATCTCCCCTTCCTTCTCCTCCTCCTCCTCCTCCTCTTCCACCACCACCATCTCCTACTCCACCACCTCCTCCTTCTCCTCCTCCTCCTCCTCCTCCTCAACCATCACCTCTTCCTCCTCTTCCTCCTTCACCACCACCACCTCCTACTCCACCACCTCCTCCTTCTCCTCCACCTCCTCCTCCTGACCATCATCATTATCATCCTCCCCCTTCCCCACCACCACCTCTTCCCCCTTCCCCACCACCCCCCTCCACCACCACCACCTCTTTCCCCTCCTTCCCCACCACCTCCTCCTCCCTCCTCCTCCACCACCTCTTCCCCCTTCCCCACCACCACCTCCTCCTCCACCTCCTCCTCCTCCACCTCCTCCTCCTCTTCCACCTCCTCCTCCATCACCACCACATTCTCCTTCTCCTCCTCCTCCACCTCTTCCTCCTCCACCACAACCTCCCCCTCCTCCTTCCCCACCACCACCTCCTCCTCCACCTCCTCCACCTCTTCCTCCTTCCCCACCACCTCCACCTCCT